CTCTACTCTACTCTGAAGTCTGTTTTGACACTGGAGGAGATGACTCCTTTAGCATTTGTGCTTTGGAAGATCGGTTTAAGAGGCACTGTGTAGATGTGAGAGAAGTCACAGTGCTGCTCAGTGAATGTTTGAGATTTAATTTGTGGTGGGTTAATTTTGTGGCGAACGAGGCCATTTCCAGAGAAGACTGGAAATGACACACATCAGGTGTATCCCCCACCCTCCAAGCAGTGTTAGAGCTTCATAGTCCAGATACAGCCGTGGTCCCCATACGGTGTCACCATGAATGGGTGTTGATGAGAGACCATTACCAATTGTACTGGAATCATAGAAGACAGGTCAGAGTCAGTTTCTGCAATTGCTTCTTGAATGCCTAGGTTATATTTTTAAAAAGCACATTAGTCCTTAGAATAATAACTTAAGAGGGCCGTGGGAATTACCACAAAGACATCATCACTTCAGTAGAGTGTTGCACAATGCTTATGGTTTAATTTAATAATTGTCCTGTGTAAATAATTGCCTCAGCCCTTAGAGGAGCGCCTCATTTTCCTACAACCGGCTCAAGTCTGTTTTTAAATAAGAACGTCATGATGTGTCCTGAACGTAGACTACTCATGTTTTTACGGCCATTGACAGAAGTGGGGTTTCGTGTTGTGTTGGGTGTATGCTGCCGAGGTTATTTCATTCCCTGAGCAACGGTGACTGCTGCCTCGTGTCGGTGGTTTTTTGCCTCGGTGGGCTGGTGGAAAAAACGGGCCCTGACGGTTGAAGGACACTGTTCAAAAACCTCGGCCTGGGTGTGAGAAGTGGAGGCAAAATGTGTGTTTTAAAAGACTGGATTCAATTGGCTTCACTGAAGCTAAACATGCCACTTGAACAGGGCTCCACACTTCGTAGCAAGCAGTGGTGGCTAGTGGGAATGAATACATTTTCTTCAGAGAATTAATTCTGCTTTGAGCACATGATGCAGTGGTGTTCAGAGCACAGCCCTGTCTTCTTGTGAAGTGAAATGTCGCTTAAGGAGCTTGGATGTATGCTGAACTATAGAGAAGGCCGTCTTACTACTGTATACCAGTTTATTTAAAGTCAAGGCGTCTGCTCTGTGGGTAATGGTGCCTTGTATTACTTTGCCCAGTCGGCAACTTTTAGTATCTTTTTTTAGTCATGTTTTTTTGTGGTTGTTGTCTTTCTTACTTGCGTGATGATTTTTGATTCTTTTATTGTAATGCGCTTGGGATGATTACTTTTAGAGACACGAGGTAGAAAAACACCAGTCACAGCACATGCTGTACTGTACATCGTATGAAATTAGGTTTGAAGTCCATAAAAATCACTACATATGAGATTGTTATTCTGAAGATTGTGAAGATCAGAAAACCTGACTTATTTCTAAGGACCTCCTGGTGTACGCGGTGCTAATTTTGGTTTCCTCCCTGCAACAGTGGTGACATGAACAGTAGCTCCTAAGACTCCCGTCCATCTCAAAGTGTTTTAGAAAACTGCCTCACAGGCATTGCTACTGTATATGGCATGTTTATGAGTGTTACCTGGGTGTATGTAGTGCTGGTTTGGTTTTCACAGGTGGCCAGCGGCTGAAACCAGGAAAAACACAAAATAAATGCAGTCTGTCTAAAAACAGACTTGACCGCACAGTGGAAACAGAGATTTCATGCACTTCAGGTGTGATCTCGTCATCGGTCCCCATTGCCTACATGTCTTGTGAGCGCTTGCTCAGTGACGTGAAAACGAGGGACCGCTGTGACAAGCGCGTGGAAACCTGCGGAGCCAAATCCCAAATTCCGAAGCCCTCGTATCCGAAGTTGGGAAGAGCGCGGGGGTTTGAATCCGGCAGAGGAAATCCGTGGCCTGTTAGACTGCAGGTGAGCAGGAGGAACTGAGAAGCGGATGTCTGGCTCCTTGTACCTGCTCTCGGTATTCAGAGAGGCTGCAGCAGTT